TTCGGCCCCATATGGGGGCTCCACCGAAAGCTTCAGCGAAGGTCCCAGTGGGACCGCCCGCATGCGTTCCCCCACCCAATGCAGCGTTTCGTGGTCCTGTATGGGGGCTCTACCGAAGGCCCCAGTGGCACCGCCCGCATGCGTCTCCACAAGCCACTACAACACGTCGTGGCCCCACAGGGAACTCCACCGAAGTCCCCAGTGGGACCGCCCGCATGCGTCCCCTCCACCCATTACGGCACGCCCCATCACGCGTTGCGTGGCCCACTGGAAGCGGCACCCCTACATATGGTTGGGCCCATCGCCAGGATAGTTTTTACAATGGAAGGTACTCACCCTCAGGTTGCGCTTTTGGCCCCCGACTTACAACAAAAATCACGACAACAACAACAACAACACCACCAACAACAACAATAACAACAACAGCAACAACAATAGCAGCAGCAGCAGCAGCAACGCCACTACCACCAACAACAACAGCAGGAGCAACAACAACAACAACAACAACAATACTTTAAATACTGTTCGCTCTTATCTGCTCGAGTTGGCATTCAACGTGTACTTCTCAAATCCTCGATACCCGCCCTCTTCGTCTTCGATCGTGCCCCCTTTTGGGGGTATATCGTTCTTCCCTGCAGGCCGGGCCCCAGCAAGCGGCGTGGTGGTCGCGGACTGTCGGCCTGGCCAGCGGCTACGGTGATCGGCGGCAGCCCGACCCCAAGAGGGACGGACAGGGGACCGACCACGACGACGACGACGGCGAGCTAAAGCGAGGGCGACAGCGATAGCGAGAGCGACGTCAGGGCCACGCAGGACAGGAAGGGGGCCACGAAGGGCGACAGCGGGGCCACGAAGGGCGCCACGAAAGGCAGATAATGCGGGGCCGCAGAAAGCAATGGCGGGGCCGCTGAGGGTAGCAACGGGGCCGCGTAGGGCAGCGAGGGGGCCGCAAAGGGCGACGGCGGGGCCGCGAAGGGCATGCGCATGGGGCCACGACGGGCGGGAACGAGCGGGGGCCACGAACGGCGTGCGTATATTAGGCCGCAGAGGGCAAGGGCGGGACCGCTGAGGGCAGCAACGGGCCGCGAAGGGCGGCGAGAGGGCCGCGAAAGGCGACGGCGGGGCCGCGAAGCGCATGCATGTGGAGCCACGACGGGCGCGAACGAGCGGGGACCACGGATGTGGCATGCATATAGGGGGCCACGAAGGGCTGCGAGGGGGCCGCGAAGGGCTGCAACGGGGCCACGAAGGGCAGCGAGGGGGTCACGAAGGGCTGCGGCGGGGCCACGAAGGGCAGCGAGGGGGCCACGAAAAGCTGCCACGGGGCCACGAAAGGGCAGCGAGGGGGCCACGAAGGGCTGCAACGGTGCCACGAAGGGCAGCGAGGAGGCCACGAAAGGCTGCAATGGGGCCGCGAAAGGCAGCGAGGGGGCCACGCAGGGCTGCGACGGGGCCACGAAGGGCAGCGAGAGGGGCCGCGAAGGGCTGCGACGGGGCCGCGAAGGGCAGCGAGATCCCGATTCCTAAGTAAGTTGTGAAGGAGTCCCAAGCGTGAGCGCGACTCCTGGGTGCCCGAATGATGGGAGCACGGCGTTTGAGTAAATTGCGAAGAGCTCAGACGCAAGAGCGCGATTCTTGAGTACATTGCAAGCAAGTCTCCAGCGAAAGCGCGATTCCAGAGCGCCGAGGGAGCGATTCCCGAGTAAATTGTAATGAATTCCTGAGCGAGAGCGCGAGTCTTGAGTACAATGTGAGGACGTCTCAGGCGGGAGCGGGGGCTTTGGCTACAGTGAGGAGGTTTCAGGCGGGAGCCGTTGTTTTGGTAACCCGGGGGCCAACGGCGTATTTTGAGTCGAGTGATTTTCCGTGATAAAACATTCGCCTGGCGAAAGACCCAACCATATGCAGTTGCTCGTACGGCAGTTGTGAATATTTTCTTCGGTGGCGTCCCCTATAGCGCCACGAGGCGCGCGAGGGGTGTGCCAACATGGGTGTGGGGGACGCATGTGGGCGGTGGCACTGGGGCCTTCGGTAAAGCTCCCAATGGGGCCACGAAGCGTGTGACGGGTGTGCCGAGATTGGTGTGGAGGGACGCATGTGGACGGTGGCACTGGGCCTTCGGTGGGGCTCCTTACGAAACCACGAAGCGTGTGAGGGGTGGGTGTGGGGAACGCAGGTGGACGCTGGCATTGGGGCGTTCGTGCTCCTTATGGGGCCACAGAATGTGTGAGGGTGTACCGGAATGGGTGCGGGAAACGCATGTGGACGGTGGCACTGGGGCCTTCGGTGGAGCTCCTTATGGGGCCACGAAACGTGTGAGGGGTGTGCCGACATGGGTGTGGGGGGACGCATGTGGACGGTGGCACTGGGGCCTTCGGTGGAGCTCCCTATGGGGCCACACAATGTGTGAGGGTGTACCGACGTTGATGTGGGGGACGCGTGTGGATGGTGGCGCTGGGCCCCTTCGGTGATGCGCCGTAATGGGGCCACGAAACGTGTG